AGAGAGAGAGAGAGAGAGAGAGAGAGAAAGAGAGAGCATATCGCAATATTCAACAAATCATCAATACTGTTATTGAACTTATTTTTGCATCTCTTTCAGCTAAATAATATATTTGTTTGAAAATAATATATTTGTTAGAAAGAAAAAAAAAATTAATGAATGAGCAAAAAATGATTCCAATTAAAAACGAACAAATTTGTAAGCAGATAACTCAATTAGTTTAATTAAAATTTTAAGAAAAATTTCTTATGATAATCTTACTAGTTGAAAGGTTAGAAATGAATAATATTTGAATGGTTAGGAGTGAAAAGGGTCGTAACTCCCATAAGGTTAATTGTAATAAAATTTATTTAAATTAAAGTGAATGCAGTGTATTTAAAATTGAAGATAATAAAAGTGTATGAAGTGATAAGCGAATGTTCAGATGATAATTCGAGAATGGAAATGTAATCGGATTATTCACCATTAAAAAACGTAATCGGATGTGCAATGTAATCCGATTATTGACAATTAAAATTGGTCATTTAACGTCGCCACTTACAATGCTGTTAAATGATCAATTTTAAAAAGTATGCTTATTTGTTTGATTTTATTTCAATAATTTGAAATGCTATCACATGCAAATTGACATTCTGTTTCCTCAACACATACCAAATTTAATTCATTTGGCGTTCAATAACAAAATCACATGGATAATTGATTAAAAATCGAATTAATAGCACATTTCATCAACAATGATCACACAAATAATCAGTTTAAAATTTCGCATCATTGAATTGTAGAAATGAATTGAAGAATGGAAAGAATTGAAATTCAAATAATTTAAAATGAAAAAAATTTGGAATGATTGCAGTAAAATGGAATGAAGTGAGGAACATTAAATATGGAACAAAATTAAACGAAAAAAAATTGATATGAAAATGAATAACAAATGGTATGTAAGAAATTGATATCAGAAATGTTTAAAAAAACATCGTCAATTTGAATTTCTCACAGCTACCCAAATTAGTTGACCATTTACCACCCTGACAGATTGCATGTGATGCACCACCACTTATTTTTTGTCCCAATGGACATGTTAGCAGTGCCATAGCACCTTCTTGAAATTTTTGTAATTTTGAATCCTGCAAAAATTTATTAAAATTTTACGATGAACAATTATAAAAAGTTAAATTTTAGATTTCAGTAAATTTTAAGTATTATGAATTTACATCAATAAGGATTTGTTTGTTTGTTTTTTTAAGTAGCAATAAAAACGAAAAAAAAATGTCAAAATTCGAAAAATTTTCCAAAATTTATTAAAGTATTATTTAATAAAGAGAAAGAAAAAACAGCAAAAATTAATCAGGTCGAGTTAAAATTTGTAGAAAAAAATGTACCGGAATATATGTTACAGTGCCCATTGTATGACTTATTGGATCACAGGCTAAATTTAAATTTCGAATGGAAGTATTCGATAGTGCACCAGAGATTACAATGCATGATCCTGAAAGCAACAAGAAAGAAAAGACAATGAAAAAGTATAAAAGATTTCTTGCAGTATTAGTGAAATACTGAAAGCGCACTAAAACTTTCTCCTATTTTTTATTCAGTAAATTCAAATTCAAACAAATGGAATAATTTTAAAAATAAGTGCGGTAAATTTCAATGTATAAGCATATATAAAATATCATATTTATTATATTTGATAAAAAAAAAGAAATAAATCATATTAAGTGAATTTCAGCAAATAAAAAACGATTAGATTTTATTTTATTTATTATGAAAAAAGCAGTAAAAATTAAAAATTAAAAAAAAAAACTTGCAATAAAATAAAATCAAAATTAAATGGATTATCAGAATTATAAAATTGATCATTTTAAAGTACTTATTTTGTTACTTCTTTTTTGCAATCTAATTGTAATAAAAATAATGTATTAAAAAAAATTTTACCCAATTTTGGTTCCCAAATGCCTTTTGAGGTGCATTTTGTGGTTGGTGAACCATTTATGACAAATCCCAGATTACACGATAATGCAGCCATCGAACCGGTACCATGAAAAAGATCAGGTATCGGTGATAACAAATTATACGTTATCAAAGCATTTGGAACTGGTAAATGTGCCAAACAAAAAGCTAAAATGATAAAAATTTTTTTTGAAATTTTTCAATTTTTATTTTAATAGCACAACAAGATTTAACTTTACCAGCTGCAATAGTTCAATTAAATCTTTAAATTTCATCCTTAATTCAAAATCTATAAATACTTTCTTTATAAAATTTTTTACCCCATTGTATTATTAATTTATAACAATTTTCATTAATTTTTAAGGAATTACTGAAAAGCAAATAAAATGCTAAGGCCTATTTCAGTCATCATTTATATTCAAAAAAAGAAAAAACTATAGAAGCTTTTTTTTTCAAGATATCCACATCCCTAAATGAATGGTACCGAGCAAATGAACTGAAATATCTCTGAAGTACCACAGCACAATATAAATTATAAATACTTTTAATTTATGTCAAAAAAAGATGAATGAAAACCCGTGACTGCTGTGATTGTGAATAAAAAAATTGTAAAAATCAAAGTCAGGCGGTTCATTGTACAATTTCGGTATGATTATTTCTGGAATAAAATTTCTGGAATAGAAAAGATTTATTAATAAATTATCGTAAAAGTATAATTTTTAACTTGTATCTGCATAATTGCAAAATTTAGAATAATAAAATGATAGAATTCAAAATAATAATGTTCGATATTAAATATTCTTTAAACAGAAAAATAAAACAAAAAAATCAAAGAAAAAAAACAAACTCAGATTTGAGAAATTATGAAATTTAGCGAAACTTCCAAATAAACTGATGGATTATGAATTATGAGAATCTAAGAGAGAAGATATTTTTAAATAATGATAAGTTATAATTAATAAAGAAAAAGATCAAATTCTATAATGCCACCTTTTATATCTAAAAGAAAGCTCATAAACAAAAGAGATAAACAGATTGAATTGTTGACCAATAATTTTAAGTGTTGTAAATAGTTCTTTCTCAGGAGATAATAATACAGTTCATTTTAGGGTCAAATGATCAACAATGATCATTTTCTCGTTTGATTCCCTCTTTTCGCCTTTTTCTTTTTCCTGTTTGCGATTCGTTGCCGATCCTCACTTCAAATTTGATTTTATTTATATTTTCATTAATCGAAATAAATATTACTACAATGTTTATTTCATTAGATATATCTTAATTTAAAAAGTAATGAAATGTATTTTTGTCCAGATATAACAATACTTCTTCTGAAGCTCTTACCCATCAAATACATCATACCATCAGCATACCCTATTACTAATTTTGCAATTTGATCTTTTTACTAACAATTGATAATAAACCATTTTTTCCAAAAAAGCAATTGGTAGGATTCAAAATTATCACAAACCACTATATATATTGCAGTGTTGCAATTCGCTCAGTTGAAGAAATTAAACAATGATATAATTCACTTAAGGAATTTGAAAATGTTCGCCTTCACTCCATTTCATTTAATGAACAATTTACTATAAACATGTTTATTGTTTAATATGCTCAAAATCAGAGTTTGCTTTATTTCTCATATCATAAGAGGTAACATAAAATCATCGTAAAAGACCTGCCCAGAAAGAAAAAAACTGAAAAATTTTATAGAAGTACACGCAAAAAGACACCCTATGATGAAATCAAATATAAAAAAACCAAGTCTTGTCTTAAAAAAAATATATGTCTATTTATATGTATATATATATAAATTGAGCAAATATGCAAATATGAACAGAGAGTAAAAGCTTGCAAATTTTAAAGGCTATATAAGATAAATCATTTGTGAATACAATTCTAAAAGTCTTAATAACATAAACATAATATACAATATTGTCAAAAATATCGCATTGCATTAGCTAAACAAAAAAATGTGACTATATCAGAAACAAAAAAAACATCGAGATCACCACTTTCAAGTCTTGATGTTTACCTGTATCATAATCTGGCCTATTACGACAAATGCGCCCTCAAGATCCGTTGCAAAAAAAAAAAAACATCATTTATATAAATAGACCTACTGCAAACTGTGATCATATTAGCAGGTAATATTGAAAAAATGAAACCTAACCGATTGCTCCAATTCTAAATGAACGTATTAGGCATCACTGTATTAATATTCTATTTTGGCACAAATATTGTTCTTTAACATGACTCATACTATTATTGCTTGTCTTTAAATATAATTTAATCTGGAAGAGAAACAAGTCCTACTTTGGCAAAGCGCTTCTGTCGCCGACAATTTTATCATAAAGCATATTCATTAGAAATGATAGAAACATCTATAAAATTAAAAAGGCTTTTGAAAGTAAAAGACCAGCGATTTCTTTTTAAAAATGCCGAATTTTTCATTCGTTGATCAAGGTATGCTTGTCATTCGCACTTTTCTTGTTAGCTAAATCAATTGCATTTCAATTTAGATTTATCCCACTGCCTATTTTAAAATTCCCTATTCCCAAGAATTAATATTAAAATAACGGAACGAATATATGTGACAAGATTCCAAACTTTTTAGAAACGATCAAGAATTTTGAACACTCTTGTTTCATTCCCTGCTGGTGTTAGACGATATTCTAAACGAAATCCAGAGACTTTTACAATACCGAATGGAAGTAATAGAAAAAATTATTGACAAACAGTCAGTTACTGGGCTAATAAAAATGTAAGAATTAAATTTCCACATTAGTCATATCAAATTCAAAAAGAAAAGATGTAAAGAAGAGAATTAATAACCTTCTGATACTGAGGCATATCCGTATGCAACACAAAATTCATAACTGAAAATATAAACTGCAAAATAAAGCGTTATTCATCAATAGAAATCGCCTTCCACTTCAACCTCAGCTTCTTCTACGGATGATGGTAAACAAATAGGTGCATCAGCATGCCCGGTTTTCCGAAATTGATACATTGCTGCTAAAATTTACAAAAATTACAATTTGATTCTTGAATTAAAAGAATTCCTATGATGCATATCCTATTTCTCCAAAAGTAACATCTGGCATTTTAACCCATAAAATACAATAGGACTTATTTTTAGGCAGCACCCCATTTTTCACATATAAAAATCTACAGCAATTATTTGTAGATAAATCTTATTTCATAATTGAACATATTGTGTCGATCTAGCACACAACCTTCATTGGTTTACGTTGGGATAGGTTTATATTATAAGCATCTTGAGAAATCATGCTAGAATTTACTTTCCTTTTAGACCTTATTTTAGAAAAAATAAGCAGTATAAATCAAATTTTTAGCTTCTAAAATTATAACTATACATTCATTACTTGCCATAAGCTGTAGTAGAGATCAAAAAGTCAGAACTTCCTTGCAGTGGCAACCGAGGCTTTCAGTACCATACCTCCTTTCGAAACAGTAGGTTTAACTTAAAAAATAGAAATAAAAAACTACCAAAGTCAATTTTTTCTCCTTATCAAGATTTCCAAAACCTTTCATGGAGAAATGAATAAATAATCCTAATTCCTCCCTACTCTATTTTGCATTGAATGATATGCCAAATGAAAAGTTGATTATCAGAATATCAGACGAAAATAATGGCATAAAACGAAAAACAACTGAAACTAATATTGGATGACTTTGAAATTCAAACTCATCTAATTTAACTTTAAAGAAATTTACAAATTTCCCAGACTTACATTCATCATAAATTCGAAGTAAACAATTTTTTCTTTTTTTTACTAAACTATTATTCGACTCAAGACTGGATAGTAAAACGCCGACGCTAAAAAGATGTGCAGTAAAAAATAACTTGCCTAAGAATCCATCTTTGTTCACAGCTCCAACAAATGTATCCAGCATGCATAACATGCAATCGATTACAGCTCCATCTTCTATTGGTGCAACTAATGGTATGCGTCCCCTATCATCCTAAAATAAACAATAAAACAGTAATTAAATAACCCGAAAATTCGTATGCAAAGCTGAAATTCGAAGCTATTCAGTCCGTTCGAAAAATTAATGAACCAAAAATCTTCTACTTAGACATTGTCCAGCAATAAAAAGAAACAAGAAAAATTTTATCAAAATTTAAGGGTTATTACTGAGTCTTCAAACCTTTAATCTACAAATATAAGCTTTAGACAGCTGCACACTGTACTTATCAAAGTCATGCATCCTGGCATAAAAAATAAATATCATAATACTCCGTGAAATTAAACTTAACCATATATTTAATCAATCAAGAAGATCTAGTTATAGTTAATTAAGTATTATGTCAATAACAGATGAAGCAAATCATCTAAATTTACTGTTAGAAACCAGTCAATTAGTAGTGTATCTTACGAGACTGATAATACTAGTAAACAACTGATGTTATTGAAATAAAACGAAGCTCATCTTATGAGTAAAGTAGTATGCTCTCAACTTTCTAAAATCAAAATTTTCGATTTTTAGTAAGTTTTTACCAAAAATTATCTTGTTGCAATTTCACCACTTACCATTAGTGATAAAGAATAAGATGTGATTTTTAATATATTACGAATGAGTGTAATCATTCCCGCTTTACAAGCCAAATGCAGAATACTGAAAAATTGAATAATAATAATTATTATTATAATAACATATACGATCGATTAAACATGTTCAAACAATATTTCTCTGGTATATTATTTTATAAAATAATTTTGGAAAATTTGGAAAATGTTAAATATTGTATACTTCAAAGAAAGCAAGCTCCAAATTTATTATTAGTAAGTGTCGTTTTTCTTTTTCAAAAGCACAAAAACCAACGTTTGCTTCCGGTTATTTTGAAAATTAATAATATGCTTCGCATGCCCATTAGCAGGAACCGGTTTCACATAATTCAGCAAGTAAACTGCTCCCATCTCATTACCAGCCATACATGCATGATGGAAAACCGTATTACCAACTATGTCGACTGCCTCCAACAATGCATTCTGTTCAATTAACAAGCCTAAAAAATATTTTCCAACTGCCAGTTTGACTATCGCTTTCCCATCTTGAATTCTGCATTGATCGCTTAAGTTGTTGACTGATTAACTTACGTAATATCTTATTAGATTTAAAATTTCCGAAAAAATATCCATACTGTTTTTGTACTATTAAATTGTTTGTAACCAATATTCCACAAAATATTGGCTTAATTAAAAAAAATCTGACCGATAATTTCCAATGCATGACTGGGATCATTGCAACTTGCAGCTGCCATCAGTGGAGTTATATGAAACACATCAAGTGCTGAAGGATCGGCTCCAGCAATGAGTAGTGTAGATGCAACTTTTGTATAACCTTGCTGTACTGCGTGATGCAACGCCGTACGGCCATAAACATCGGTGGCCTTTGCATATTCCATATTTATTTGTAATAAAAACTAAAAAATGTATATAAAACAATGCTGTAAATTTTACAAATAATATTAGATCTAACAATGTCACTTCGCTATGTGCTATGTGAAAATCTTCAAAAACGAAACCGAAGTTTCGATGTGAAGAAAATATTAGACGTTCTACGTTTGTTACAAACAAATTATATGAGAATTTTGTTTGCATTAAAAAGAAAACCGTATAACATTTTTTTCTCCCGTCAAAAACCAAATTATTCGATATTATTAAGTTTAAATGAAATGCTGCAAAAATTAAATCAGATATAATTGCAATCGGAAACAATATAACATGGAAATTAATAGGCAAATAATAATTCTCCAGAAAACAAGAGGTAAAGTTCAAATCACCTGACATGCCTCAATACGTCCACAAGATGCTGCCAGTATTGTGGCCATACTCCTATTCGCATCCTTGTTAGCATCATGAAGAATATGCAAGACACATTCATTACCCTCCACAGCTGCCCAATCAAAAGCAGTTAAACCCATAGAATCTGCTATTTCCTGTACACCATTTGCTAGCAAATAATTGACAGTTGCTGAATCACCTGTAAAGTTTGTTCAAAAATATAAAAAAGGAAAAAATAAAAAGGTCAACCAAAAGCAGATAAAAGACTGTCCTGCACCTGTGACAAAATGTCTGCAAACGAACTTTGCTTATTGTTATCGAAACTGTAAATCTATTAATAACTTAAATGCATTAAGAAAGATCAGAACAATATGACCGGACACATCTTATATCATCAACTTGGTGAAGGAAACAAAATTTGTAGTATAGATGGTGAGAGTAGCCACAGAATAAAAAAAAAATACAGCCCGACAATATAAGCAGATACATCAATGCACCTTAAACGATTATTCGCAAAATCAAAATTCATTTTATTTTACATCATTTCAAAATTTAAAGAAATTAACCTGATCTCGCTGCAATATGAAATGGCGTAACACCGTTGCAATCCACCGATTTGAAATCAGCACCTTTATTCACCAATTCCTTGCATAAAAGTTCGTTTCGCAGACTGCAGGCCCGATGCATTAAACCACGACCATTTTTGTCGAATAGTTTTACATCACTTTTTGGTAATAATGTAAGGAAACAATCCAAAAAACCATTTGAAATTGCAAGCATAATGGGTGTTCTAAAAATAAAGAAAAAAGAAGTACAAGTAAAAAAAAAAACAATTCTTTTTCATATCTAATCAAAATTCAATTCAGACCATACAGTTAATAAAGGATTTTCAGAACTGAGAGAACATCCATCTCTCCCCCTCATCCACCACATTCAAATTGTTGACAGTGCAAATATCTAAAAAAACTTATTGCGAAAAATGTTATAAGACAAGATGATGCTGAATACTTCAAACAATTTCGATCATCGAAAAATTCTCGAACCTTGATAAAGAATCTAAAACGTTGATATCTTTTTCCCTGAGCAATTCTACAGCAAGGGAAATGCAAACAGTCCTTCCACACGCAGCTGCAGCATGCAACGGTGTTATACCAAAACAATCTTTTCGCAATAATGCACGTTTCCTAATCGCTGTTCTCAGGAGGATATCTACACATCGCTGATAACCTGCAATTCTGAGTTTTCCAAAACATCATGCAAAATTTTTATATCCTGGAAAATAACTTTATATTCCTTAATGCGATTCATGAAATCATTCAAAAAGCACGAACTATAATTTTATGGCTCTAAAATTATGTTCTTCTAAAGTGAGGTTATGTTCTAAAGTGAATGTTTCAGTTGTTGTGCAGTAATATCATTCGCTGAGCTAGTTGAAATGAAAGTGACATCGAATTTTTTGTTGCGAAAAAAGGACTGAACCATCAGCCTTACTTTCTGAAGTCCTTTCTATGCTCATTGCATTACATTGGAAGAGGATTTCCTAATTAATGGTGCATATTCTGCCTCAATCTGAATTTATGGATGATAAACATTAATCAACAAAACAGCTTATTTAATGATTACTCACTTATTTATCATTAAACTAGTCTTGGAAAAATATAACTAATAAATAACTGAGACGAAGGTCCAAATGTTCACGTTTCAGAAAACCTCAACTTATTTAAATCAATATAAATAATTTATGATCATTGAAAGACAAAATTAAAAATACCTACCACCTGACATAGCATAATGAATAGGAATTCGTTCTAGTGAATCCATTTCGAGACCTATAGTATTACCAATTTTCGTTGTTTGTTCCCTATCAAGTGTCATTGAACGTGCATGATAGAAAGCCAGCAGCTTTTGTAAAAGTTGAGCGTGATTATAACGAGCTGCTATATGGTAAAGTGTAAGATGATAAGGATGACGGGATGATGGAACAGTGACATCGGACATTGCGTCTATTAACTGAAAATTTATTGGATTGAAATGAATTCCTTTTTGGAAAGTATTCCACTCTCAAATTTCAAATGAGTACAGCTTCTATGATTGAAACAAAATTTTCACTAGCTAAAAAAGAGAATCTTAAGTTTAAGTAAACAAACCACTCATTACTTCAAGGATGGCAGATTAAATGTATCAGTAGTAAACAGTGAGATTGAGATTTACATTAAAGGTAATGAATTAACTCTGTGAATAAAATGAAATGTTCTGTTAGCAAGCAAAAGCTTCGCTTTAAAATGCTTCTAGATGTTTGCATAACGTAGATATATTCTGCAGTTTGAAGAAAGATTTCCATCTTTCACCTTCATCATAACAAAATACTCAGGTAGGATCTTGAATGAGTTTAAAAGTGAAATGGAAAAAGAAACTTCTAGAAAGCACACACATACACATAACTGTAAATGGCAAGCATTTGAAACTTACAAGTAAGACTGTTTCTATGTTGCCAGCTTTAACCGCATAATGAACGGGAAGAAAACCTGATTTGTCCCTGACATACAAAACTGTATCATCAGCACGTAGTAAGATTTTGGCACTCTAAAAATTCACATGCCAAATTTACTGACTCAAAACACATATGCAAAACACTTTGAGAAAAGTACCTGTTTAGATTAGGATTTCCATAATTGTACATCCCCTGCAAGTTTGCAAAATATTTTTGCAGACAGTAAAGCTAGTTCCTCGTTCATATTTTCACAACGATTTGCTAGAAAGCACGAGTGAAAAAAACTAACAACTAATGCGAGATCCGAAGGTGATTGCACTGCGTAATGCAATGGAGTATATCCTAATTGATCTTGTTCATTTGCACGAGCATCTGCAGCTAGCAATTTCTGGATAGCATCGAAAAAACCACTTCGAGCAGCATAGTGTAATGCAGAGCGCCCTTTGCAATCCACTTTTGATATCATAATATTGGTTGAAAGCAAATAATTAATCATAAATTCGCTGAAAAACTGATGAAAATAAGTTGATAAAATTGTCTAAAAAAATGGTACAACCTGACAAATTATTTAATGGATCACTCCTCTAGCAGCAGCATGTTTGCTGAATATCGCAGAAGTGAAGAATACTCAATATAATCAAAGAAGCAGATAGTCAAACCATTAAGTTTAATCTGTTACAACGATTGTTTAGGAATGCCTAATCAGAAAAAAATAAAGTATAACAGCTAAGAAAAAGAATTCATTAAAATCTCGGGAAATTAACCTATTAGAGCTTGAAGACTGTGCAGCCATATGCAAAGCTGTTCGTCCGATGCGATCTACCTCTCCGATGTTAGCTCCATTAATGTAGAGCGTTCGTGCAACAACTACATAACCATGAAACGCAGCATAATGCAAAGCAGTCAAACCAGACTTCGTTTTCCTGGACATTTAGAGAAAATAAGAATTAATTGAAATTTTGTAACTAGATAGTGAAATTCAAATAAAAAACAAAGCGTGCATTTTCGGTCTAATAAGAAATCAATTTAGAGTTCCTAGGAATGCTTCGATATTCATGTCACTGTTTAGATTTGAGTATCGTTATCTAGTAATACTGAATAAGAACTTAGTCTACTGCAGCATAATCCAATGATTATAAGAAATGAAACAAATAGCAAAATTAACATACAAGTTACAATCCGCTCCAGCACCCAGAAGATGCTTGACAATAAGATCATAGCCATGTCTGGATGCCATATGAAGTGCAGAAACACCCTGATTTGTTACTGCATTCACCGGTACACCTTTGGCTATCAGTGATTTCGACCGTGCTATTCGGCCAAATTGGCAAGCAAAATGTAAAGCCGTATTACCATCAGCTGTTTGGTAACCGATGTCATGGGTTACTTCAATCAGTAGCTGAAATTACAAATTTACTTAAGAATGAGAGAACAAATGATACTGTTTTCATAACAATATATTATATTGATATGATTATTTAAGAACATACATTCATAATACTTTAATTTTTTAGATGTTTCATGAATTTCACCCATGAATTTCTTTTACAGTTCTTCTGTCCGGAATTTTATTCGTCTCTGTTCGCACAAGAATTTGCAATATTTAGTCGTTGTTCACCATGTAATGGAGCATAGTAAATGTGAAACGGGCTTTAACACTTCAAAATACATTATTCTTTATCGAAGGTATCGATGTTAATGGATTAACAAGGACAATCATCAAAACATGAACTAAATTTTTGAACTAAAAGGAAACAATATATTTTACAATTTAGAAAGATATAAGTAAGAGAAAATTTTTTATCCTTAGATTGGAGCAATTTATAACAACTCACGATAACCTCGGCAAATAAAAAACTTACATCACAACTTAGGGTACCCTCGGTAAAACCTGCGGCAATATGAAGAGGTATAAATCCATTGGAATAACTTGCAATGGATGGGTTAGCTCCATTACTGATTAACCTAAAAACATTTCACTGTTTCAATTAGGCTATCAGTAAAAGATTATAAATTAAGAAAAAGTACATATTAACAAAAAAGAGCAAACTCACATTTCAGCAACTCGACTACGTCCATTCAATACGGCATAATGTAAGGGAGTGTAACCTGCGGAGCACTGACTATTAACGAGTATTGATGTATTTTCTAGGATAAATTTCACAGAATCTATGTCACCAGACATTGCCGCATAATGCAAGACCGTCCTCGTCTGCTGATCTCGTAATCTCATATCGAGCCCACCATTGAAAAGTAATTTTAAAACATTACTATGCCCATTTAGAGCAGCCCAATGCGCTGCAGTCATACCTCGCTTATTTCTGGAAAAGAAAGTTAACTTTTGTACATTCAATTATATTTGTTCATTCAAAAAATCACATTATTCCTTTCAGCAATTTTGAAATGCGCTAGCAATTTAAATAAATAAATAAATAAATATAGTATGCATATGTGCACATACAATCATATACAATACAGATATATTCTCGAGTCTACTTTTGAACGATCAAAAACGATAGAGTAAGACTTAAAATCGAATCCCATACATCTACTCTTTTCTTTCCAATCACTTGAGGCTATTAGCATCCGTACATTAATTAATTCCTGGATTGATAGTTCATACTAGAATAAAATCAAAACTTCATAAAAAATGCTCACTTAGTATTTGGACAAGCATTTTTCTTCAATAAAAACTCGACAAAGGTTGAATTTCCATAGGATGCTGCATAATGAAGTGGTGGACAACCACCCCAATCTGGACGATCTGAAATGTTTATATAGCAAACAATAAAACAGGTCTGGAACTAGACTAAATTCATCAACTTCTTCCCGTGAGGAGAACTGATGCATGAAAGCTTTCAATACGCTAATTCAAAAAAATAAAAAATATTTCTGGCGGTAGCAATTATCAATAGAATCGTCAAATGAAGAAAATATTTTCTCACTTTTCACTTAAAAGGACTAAAATTTGTTTTTACAAGTTAAAGTTAAGAATTAAAAATGAATGTCAGTTCTACTAGTTTAAGTTATTGTTCTGGTTACACAAAGCGTTGTTTTCGAACGAGAAATTCGATATACAACGTACCAACAATCGAATCACAGTTATCAAGAATCACTTCGGCACAACTCAATGCATTAACTTGTGCACATATATGTAACGATGTCATGAACTGTTTCGTCGCACTATTTGGATTTGCACCACG